GGGGGTTTAAGTGGAGAGAAAATGTTTTGAGAATGATGTACAAATGCACTTTACACAATTGATGTGTGTATGGATTGCGCTAACAGTTGTATGAGCCCCTAATAAAATGTTTAAAAAAGAAAAAATAAATGGCTCGGCGAGCCTCACCTTTCTTGTCTCTTGCTCTTTGATCATCGCGCCAGTGTGCGACTGCCTTGCTTGTTCCGTGCCTCAATTTGCAAGCTACACCACCTGTGGGACACCTAATCCGTGAACTGTGTTGCTGTAATTTGAGGTTCCTTCAAGATCTGCTTTGCCACAGTATTGCAATTTACATCTCTTGAGCTTGGGACTGTCACACCCTGTCATCTGGCTGACTGTTGGTGACCTGCCTTGCTGTTTTCTGCCTGTGCCCGGATAGCCTGAATTGCTCTACAGAGGACTACCTGGTGGCCCTCAAGACTTGAAGGACTGCCAGTGTCTCACAACTGTCTCACGGGAGTGAGTTGCACTGAGCCATTTGTACTGCTTCATAATTTAACTGTTTATTTCTTGTGTTATATAGCTATCTATCTGTATAAATATATATATAAAATTATTAGCAATCTGGTTTTATCTCTCTAGAGAACCCTGTCTAACACACTTTGGTACCTGGAGTGGGGTGTTGAAGTAGCACTATTAGTACTGTTACCTTTCATGGTGTTATGCATAAAGTCACGACGAGTTGGAGGTTGATTTGATGACAACCATCAATTAAGGACAACAGCTGCAATATGGGTGTGGAAGTTAGCATGTGTAAAACAAAGCTGTATAAAGCGTCACACTGGGGGGGGATTGACAGAATCACCTGGAACAAATGTGGATTTATGCCTTCTTAGGATAGTCACAATATGTTTCTATTAAAAGTTTCTATATAACTTCAGGCCACAGTGACACTGAACAGACATGTGAAAGATCAGCATATTTGTCTATAACTGGACGAAAGTAAACTCAAATTCTGGCAAAATTGCTGTGTTAATGAGCCATAATTTTAGAATTTTAATAAGATTATAGGTATTCAAATAGAGACAACTTTCACTTTATGCAAAAGTAATTTTATAATCACCCCAGTAATAAATAAGGTATCATTTAACTAGAAGAGTAAAATTAAGGAATAAAACCAGAATTAACCTAGACCTCCAGTTCTTAGACATAAACAATTCTCTTGAAGTTTCTAGAATGCCTACATTTATTTATTTTGGTGTTATATATAAAATTTATTTCCATTTATTTGGATGTTAGAATCTAGAATAAACAAATTCTACTTCTTTTTCACATACAGGTAGATCTAAATGTTTTATATATAAATCATATGCCCCTCATTATTTGAGAAAAAAGAATCTCTCTCTGTCTGTCTGTTTTGAATGGGAAAATACAAATTGTCAAATTTCCTTTTGCCTTCAGAAATTTTACTTTTTCCTGTGCTGTGAAGTAAAATACGGGGGGTGGGGGAAAGGTGCATGAAGTGAACCTTATGTTAAAAACAAACAAACAAGGACCAACTCCCCCAAGAAGCACTTTTCTTTTTAACATGTTGGTACAGGGCACCAGGAGCTGTAATCGACTCGATGGCAGTGAGTTTGGGGTTTGGAAATGACTAGGAACTATTGTGTAGAATCCTTGTCTAAGAAAACATACCAGGTTATTCCTAATTCTTGTTAGGTCTAGCACTTAATTTAATTCTCAGTACACTTAAGGGTGGGGTGGGGGGGATAAAAAGAATGTTTATTGAGCACTGAGGTGCTTTCTCGTTGTTATCGGGTGGATGGCAATGTCCAATTCATAGCGACCTTCCTATTGGCGGAACGGAAATGCCCAGTGGGATTATCCTGAGCTGTAGTCCTTGCAGTAAAAGACTGCTGTATCTTTCTCCTGCAGAGCAGCTCATGGGTTTGAACCGTTGATTTTTGGGTTAGCAACTGAACAAGTAAGCAATGCATCACCAAGACTCCTTAATAAGATCTGTAGTGATGAATAAATGAATTTATTTAAGCTAATGAAGTATGCAGTTGAAATATTTTCCAAGTGAGATTTACAAGATTCATTCACAGTTCCTTTGCTGCGGCTGTCAGTGGGCACTGTTTCATTCTGTTGTACTGAGTTGGACACTATGAGTGGGAATTTAATTGATGACGGCGCCTAACAACTGATGCTTGTGTTTTCATTTTATTCCCTAGCTTACAAAAAAAAAAAATTCACTGTCTGTGTTCAGCTTTCTGTCTATTTCACTCGGAAGCCAAGCCTAACAATGATAAAGTTGGATACAGACGAAACACAATTTACTAGAGACACAATCTTGTATTTATGTGCTACTTTAAATGTTCCATTTCAAAATAGAATTTCAGGAATTAGCTTTGGATCAGCAACCACCAAATATACCAGAGTGCATGTTTACAAGAAAGGTAGTTACCATGCATCAAAATATTTCTTGAATTGTTGAGGAAGGAGCCAGACAAAGCCCGGGATGAAATGCCATCCCCAAGTTCGACTGAGCCAGAGTCAGAGCTAAATTCTCGGCAGCAAGCAGGAGACTCAGAAAAGGCTGACTTTAATTACAAACTTTATTTGTCAATACAATTCACAGTTTTTACATGGTGCATTCCACCATATGAACTTTCAGAACAGTTATTGAGGAGATGTGTGTAGCTTTCTTTCTAAAAGAGCCTGACTTTCTAGAATTTTGGTTAGATTTTCTTTTAAGTTTATAAAAGTACCTTCAACAAGTTAATGGAATATTTACACTTCTAGTTTAAATTTAACTTTTGGAAAATAAGCATCTATGATTTTTGTCTTTTAATGATATTGGATTTGTTTTTTAAGACTTTAATTTGAATGGCGCTTGATTCAGATTAAGAGAAGAAGAAGAAAACAAGAAAAAGGGATAAAGAGAAATCTGTTTTGCAATTATATTTAGGACAATTATTTTCTTTCTGAATTTTAAAAATTACATATACAATGTACAACAGACCTAAGAATGAAAGGAAAGGAGAAGGAGTGATCAATTGGGTGTCATTTCTGAATTTCTTCTGAATATTTGGAAACATCCAAAGAATTGCAGGATATAAAATGAATCTATGAAGAATTATCAGCCTTTCTATCTAAAAAACAAAAACGACCTAAAAAATCAAAAACAATCCAAACACACTCTCACAAAATCTCTCAAGATTTAACTTGTGCTATATCAGCTTTATCTCTACTGTCAGAGATGAATTGTGCCTGCACGCCACACGTCTCCGTGTGCAGAATCCCGGGGATTGCCGTTTCCAGTGCAGAGCGCAGCCACAGAGGCTGCAGCTGTGCCTTCCTCTGCAGCTGCGTCACCTCCCTCATCTGGTGAACGTCAACCGAGGGGCTTGGAAAATCGCACAAGCCTCTTGAACATCAAAAAACAAAGAGTGCTGGCAGTACACTATTTATTGGGAAATGCTCGTAACACATTGTTTTGCTCTCTTCTTTTCATCCGAATGGAAACTCACGCCAACTGTCAGAAACCACCTTCAGTTAGAGCCATTTTTAACAGTTTCCTTTTGTCAGATCATTTTATATATTTGGAATGGTCTTCTTCCATATCTATCAAAATGTATCTTTATTAATAAATGGTAAATTCCAATTACTGCCAGGAAAAAAATTGGGGAACAGCCCATTTTACGGGCCTGGTAGCAATTACACAAAGTACTCATGAAGGCTGGTGGCATAGCAGTGAAGCGCTCCACTGCTAACTGCAAAGCCAGCAGTTTGAACTCACCAGCTACACCATGAGAGAGAGATGGAGCAAATAGGCTTCTGCAAAGATTTATGGCCTTCCAAACCCTACGGGGCCGTTCACTCAGTTCTTCAGGGTTGCCGTGAGTCAGAATTGACTCAGCAGCGTGAGTTGTCAGGAATGGGTGTGCAGGTACCACTGGTACTTGAGTCAGGTCAATACTCAGAAGTGCCATCTTTGGACCTCAATTCTCCACAGTGCCTTTAATACTATGGTCTCTGAGTGTTGCTTCAATATCCATCTAACGTGGCATCTATCCATTCATCGGGAATCCTCACTTCAGTCATTTAAGAGCTGCAAAAAGAATATGGTATTGAAACGAGACGACTGGGTTTAGGATGGTAGAAGTGAGCCTAGGGGGCGGGGAGAGGGAGGGAGAAACCACACATTAGCTAGAGAAGTTCTGTGTCTTCATAAGATAAGGCACTGACAGAAATTTCTTAGGTAAAAGGCTGCATAAGAATCCCTTGCCATTTACAAAAAGAAATGTTGTCATCCATAAAATGGTCCATGTCTAGGCTCAGTTCGGTAGACCCTGAAAAGTTAAGGGCTGACCCCTCAAAGCTACATGATTCCCCAAAACCATTATCATTCATTCTGAGGCCGGACGGCACAATAGGAAAAGGGAGGGCAACAGTCTGGGCACCAAGAGGCATCAGACATTGCTTGCTTTCCACTTGTCCAAGACAGCGGACCACTCAACAAGCATCATTAGAAGAGTGCTGGCTCAGCATTCCACATTCTGTTGACAGCAGATGACCATGATGGGTGTATCTATTTTTATTCCCCCTTTTGAGCTCATGCACAATTTAGAGAATGTTACCAGCAACAGTCATAAGAGCATATCAAAGTCCTCACCTATGGCTATGCCTAAGGCTATTTAATGTTCTCAATAACAGCAATCTCTTCGCCAGCACAGTGTGGTGTCAAACCGTTCAGATAAATACTCTCAGTCTTCAGTAAGGGAGGCAAGACATCCCTCTCGCTGGTCAGGTGGTTTACTGACAGGGTCCTTCTGCAAGGAGTCAGCTCCTGATTGTGGTTTCCAGCTAGTTCTGCTGACAGTTTCCGCTTAATGGAGGTGGCACGCTGGAATTTGTCATAAATCTCCACACTCAGCCGCCGTCTGGTTTCTTTGAATTCAGCTGTGACGTTGGCTGTCCACTCAGCAGCGTGAGCCCTGAACTCTCCCACCTGGAGCGTACATGCAGAGGAAAGAGAAAGAGACACCAACACGGTAGTCAGCATTTCTGTGTATCTATTTTCAGTGATTTGGGCGGGGGGCGGTAGAAAAAGGAAAGTGCAATCTTTTGCAATATTGGTGGTCTGAGAACTGATGAAATGAGGCAAAAACATGGAGCGCCAGATACTGTTTTCCGCAGCTACCCCAAAGCCATTGCCATCAAGTTGATGTTGCCTTATGGCCACCCTGTAGTGGGTTTCTGCGACGGTGTACCTTTGTGTGAGTTAACAGTCTCATCTTTCTCTCAGGACACAGCTGGTGGGTTGAACCACTGACCTTCTGGTTAGCAGTCCACTGTTTACCAAGCATTGCCACCAGAGCTCCATTGAAATAGATATGGCTCTAAAAAGTGGTATATGAAACTCTAAAAATTAACCTTGGAAAAATTAACAGACAACTATAAACTATATTTTTCAGAGGCACTTGCTCTGTTTGTGTTTGTATCCACATGCTGTGATGGAAATGTCTGGTGCCGTAACATGTCAGCTTCTGGCTTGTTCCAAAGTGCCGCAGAGCACACACATGTGGACTCTGTGCAGAATAAGCCTTCTCCGCTGGGTTTTCTAAGTTCTCACCTTTCAAAAGCAGATCACCAGACCTGTCTTCCAAGAAGCCTCTGTGTGGATTTAAACAGTCAACCTCCCAGCTCAGAGTTGAGTGCTCCACTGTGTTACCCGGGTATTCCTAGCCCCAAACTTAGTTTTAAAAGAGAACACAAATCTTTGAGAGATTTCTTTTCATCTGTGTCTCATTTCACAGCTCTGCTCTGACACACATGGGGCCGCCCTGAGTAGGAGTTAACTCCACAGCAACTGGGTTGGGGGATCAGATGTTTACCAGGCTGGACCATGCAGCGAAACATAGAGCCGAATGCAAGAGCCTGAATGGTGCTAAACCTTTTGGGTGACCTGTTGGGTCCCAGCAACAACGACGCTGTTTGCTCGGGATATGAAAGTAAAAACCAGACACTGTGTGTGCAAGAACTTTGTACATGTAATGAATTGAATTGTGTTCCCCCCAAATAAGCCTTGTGATTCTGATCAAGATGGTGGCCTAGGCAGACGTACTACCTAGACTCTGCCACAAATATCCAAGAAACCTAGAATATAACCACAGGCCTGGAATACTGAGCTTCAAAGAAAAAGGGGACGAAACAGATAAACTGTCAACTGGAAGAAGAAACTGGACAAAAGCAACGAATAAGAAGACCTTAGAGCTGTGAAGTGCTAACTGGCCCCACAGGCCATTTTGAATTGTTGTAAGCAACCTTCTGTTCGAGGCAAGAACCAGATAACTGGTTCTATTCTCACAAGACCACAATGGTGCAAACCTTGGTGATCGGCAAGCAGACAGTTATCATCCACGTCTTTACCCCCTCAGAGTCCTGAGGACCCAAAGTCTGGCCAGTCTGTGAGGATCATCACCACCACGACCACCACCCTGTCCCTGCGGGGAGATCTGGTCAGCCACTTTCCTTCCTGCACCCCAGCATGGCTCCCCTCCAGCCAGAGGTGGACCCTCATGATGAAGCAGACAGAGTGTATTGTTGCTGAGGTCGAAGAGGGGCTCCCTCATTATCACAGGAACCTGACAGCCCTGAGTGTGGAGGCATGACCTCGACATGAGTCAGGCACCCAGGGGCTGCTGGCTCCATGTCCAGGGCACGCATGTGCACGGGCTGCAAACTGCCAACCTGCTACCCTCATGATCTGCGGCATGCAGGGCCATGGACCAGGCACGAAGACGGTGCTGTCTCTGTGGCTGGGGTGCATATGCTATTATAGACCAGACAACAAAACCTTGCCACCCATGCAGCTGGCCATGTACACCTTGGCCCGACCACCCACATGGCTGTTGGTGCCCCTGCAGATTGGATGTCATGAGTCTTTATTTTCCAATTCTTTTCTTTTTTACTCTTTCCCCACTTTTGCATTTTTTTTGTTTTGCTGTTGTCTTGTCTTTTTAATCCTTCACTTTGTGTGTGTGTGGCCTATATAGCAGGAGGCTGCACTATCCACCACTATGCAATCACACTGACCCGCCCTCTGCCTCACTTACTGGACACGGTCCACATCGCCCTCTTGCACTATTGATCCATGATAGATGGTGACTCACATCAGCCCAGCCTGCGCTCACTGCTCAAGTGTCGGAAACAGCAAGCAAGGAAGTGGCCATTAAAAGAAGAGTGGCAATGTTGATTTCTGATGAGGTAGCCACTAAGGCAAAAGGCACCCAAAGAAGCAAATATATTCCTCTGTGTAATTGATAATATACAAACAAAAAATAACCAACATTAATAGCAATGGAAAGAGAGTGCCTTTTAAATATGGAAATTGGACCGGATGCCCTTTTTCACTCATCCCTTTCAATATTGTATTGGTCATCCTAGCCAGAACAGTAGGCAAGAAGGAGAAATAAAAGGATCTCAAATTGGAAATGATGAAGTCAAAGAGCTGAACAGAAAATTTCAAAGGGTAGCTCAAGAAGACAAAGTAAAATACTATAATAAAATGTGACAAGATCTGGAGTTAGAAAATCAAAAGGAAGAACATGCTAAGCATATCTTAAACTGAAAGAATTTTTTTAAAGTACGAAAGATTCTATGGGCAATAACACCTCAATGGATACTCTTGAACCTAAAAATGTGTAAATGTACAAATATTTCTAAAAATAGAAACAGTAAACGGTGTGAATATGTTCAGTTTTTAATAGGTACCAAAATTTCTGAATGAGCCTCTCATTTTCAAAGTCAGGGTTCCCAGTAGATACACTTGTTTCCTCTTTCCACACAGGTACCCTCTGCTTTTAAATGGCAAAGACTCTTGTTCCTGAATATTGACACCGAAGTAAAAAGTTCTCGAAACACCTGGTGATGTGCTCCCTTATGGACGACAGGCAAAAAAAAAAAACCCTTGGGGCAAGTCTACAATTTTCTGCGAGTCACAATTGACAGCACTCACCTGCCAAAAAGGACCACTAAGGATATTTCAAGATCTTAAAGGAGAAGACCTTGAAATTACAAAATAGGGCAATCTCCTTGAAAGACAGTCCACAGGCTAGAAGTGAGCATATTATAGCAGCTCTGGACCAGACAGCGCCACAGACTGCACCAACCCTGAGTTGAAGAGCTTCCTAAGGCATTGCCTGTTTTGAGTACCCACAGGGCATACATAATAAATACCAGCTGAAAAAACCTTCCTTCTGAGACACAATACATGATGTAGCTCAGGCCAAGGCAAGAAAGTACTGACATTGACACTTATTATTAAGTAAGTGTGATTTTAAAATTTATACTTACAATTGACTTATGAAAATGTATATTGTGGTAGTGGCCTAACTTTATGTCAACTTGAAGATATTTTAAGGATAAGGGTGCTTTCAACCTGTTAATCAGGTGACAGCCTGATGGCTACTCCTTCTGGGTGTGGCCTTCTCATAGGGAGAGCCCTGGGACCTCCCTTTCTCTGTCTGCCTTCACTGTCCTGCTGATGGGGCCTGCACTGCAACAGGCGGCATTGCTGACTGACTCACTTTGTCTGAATCAGTCTCTGCTCTTAGTTTCCAAACCAGCATGGTCTCGTGGTTTTTGTCTTCCCATTCGGGATCAATTCTTCTCAACCAACTTTGTAAGCACTTTTTTTTTTAACCCGCACCTTAACTACTTTTGCTCCTTAAGGCTCTGTTCTCATTTTCCCTGGATGATCGTATGCTTCCAATTGTTTTAATTACCATCTATATGTTGATGATTGCCAAGCCCCTATTTCTAGGTTAAATCTCTCTACTGAATTATGTATCTGTGAGAGGAACTGCTTACTAAAACAGCTCCACAGTAGATGACTCCAGACATTTCAAGCTGCACATATTCACAGGTGAAACATTTTAACTTCTTCCTTTATTTCTTATGTTGCAGAACACCACTATTCAACCCTGGTATCCCAAGTCGAACTTCAATATGATCATTTGCTCTTCCTAGCATTTAAATTTACTACAAATTAATCCAAGTCTTGCTGCTCAACCTCTTTTACTCTCAATGTCTTCGCTTCTCTTTATTCCCCTTGCAACTTCCAAGGTCCAGTCCATCATTTTTTTCCTCATCTGGATTTACTTCAGCAGCGTCCTAACTAATCCTGCCACCTTAGGGGGCATCTCCTCTCCCATAAATTCTCCACACAGCAGCAGTGTGTCTCTCCATAAAAACATATTAGAGCAAGTCCCTCTCTCTGGCAAAATATTCAATCAATTCCCATTTCTCTTAGGAGAAATTCTTTCAAATCTGTACAGTGGCTCCTATGAATAATAGCCTACCTACTCCTCTGGTTTTAACTCTACCCATTCCTCTCAAATGTTCCTTCTATACCATCCCAAGCATTTATTTCCTTAAACACATCTCTCTTTGACTTCATTCATTCATTACATATTCTGCTTTCTGACCAGGATAGTATTTCCCAGGCTTTTTTTGAGATGGTTCCTACCCACCCTAACTTAAACAGTGTCAGGGAACCAGTCCCTGATTTCTGTACCACATTAGGCTTGTTATGGATTGAGTTGTGTTCCCACAAAGGATATGTTTGATGCTTAGCCCCAGTGCTTCTAAACATAACCTTGTTTACAAAGAGGATCTTTGAAGATGTGATAAGTTGAGTTAAAATGAGGCCATGCCAGGATGGGTTAAGGCTAATCCAACAGAGACATAGAGACACAGAGAAAATAGCGATGTGAATATGGAAAGAGAGATGAGAGCTATGCCACTGGAAGCTAAGGAATGGCTGTGAGCACCAGAAGCTGGGAAAGTTCCTTCTCCTGGAGTTTATGGAGAAAGAATAGCCATGTGGACACTTTGAATTTCTTGCCACGAAAACTATATTGCTTTAAACCATACTTTTTTAAAAAACCCACTTATTAAGGCAATTGTAGGAAACGAATTCAAGGATAATGTATTCTTTTTACCTAT